AGATAAAAAATTAGAGTCATGCTACTCTTACATCCTTTACGGGCCCCACCCCATGTGAGGGGGATGTGTACAAGATTGTGTACAAAGAATGTACACTTATCATTAGTGAAAAATACGCAGCTAACATCGTCGCCGTTCTGCCTTGTGCGTGTCCCCATTTTGCAAACCCAAAACACTCCCCACCCCACCTCCAACAAAGATGAGAAATGTCTATTATGTCCTTGCATTTTAAGTTAATGCCAGATGGGTCCTTATTTTTTGTGGGATTCGAATAAATTTTTTGAACCATAAAGTCGGAAGAAATGTGAAAGTTTGGTTGGTTTCACAAGAATGCTTCTTTGACTAGGAAAAAATAAAAAAGAGGGTCAAACTTTTGATTTTAAAAAAATGGTTTCTAGATGGTCTTAGAACCCGTTTTGTATAACTTTTGAAAAGACAAAAACCATTTTTGAACATATATGAATAATTTTCTAAAAATATTTTATCTGTTTAGAAGAGTTTTTAAAATAAGTGGATATAAAATAATTTTTTTTTAGAAATTCCCTTATAAGAAGCAGAAGTAAAAACAAAAATATTGTCAAACGAGCTCTTAATCTTTAATCATGTAACTAATGTCCAGTGTCAACATCGAATATTTACTTATATATAAGTTATATTGTTAATAAGTATTCAACTTGATTAAAATTTTTTATATTGTATTTGGTAATTTTTTTTGACAATTTATCCCCACGTTAGTTGTTTGTTATTCATACTCGATAGATACCGTCAATTTTACTTTGTAAGAAACATCATGTCAAATTTTTGTAAGGATATATCACTAATCCATAATATTTCCCCTTTTTACTCTTCCTTGCACTCTTGCAATCAGATTTCCATTTGAAATCAAGCAATGGAAAATTGTATGATAGGAGCAAAATATTGTTTGTGATTTGATTTCATGGTTGACTTTAGGAGGTAGTAATTAATCTTATGCATTCTTTAAGTGGTGAATGGGTAGTGTACGCTAAAGTAGATGTCAATTGAAAGAGAGATGGTCTTCCAATTGGACTGAAATGTCATATTTGAATGGAAGGACCATTGCGAAATGTGGAAATAGGATGGATAGATGAAGTTATCCTTTAATAATGGGCACGTGCGTGGCAGGTGTTTATTTCATAGTAAATTTATCGACAATTTCTATACTTTACTTGAACCTAAATTGAAAACATAATCAATTTTTTTTTATCAGAGACCCAAGTGGTCCGAGCGATAATATTTGAGCACCACATCAGCAAATTTCCTAAGTACGAAACATAGAACCAATTTTTATAAGTGTAACCAGGGGCGGATCCAGCATTTTCGCTCAACTAGAACGGGCAGTTGATCGTTGACCGATGATCGATCAACGATCGTAATAGCCGAAAATAAAATTCAATACATAAGTAAATGCACTAAAACGTAAAAAGGATATACATATGATTTAATTGATTAAAAAATGCCCAAATTTATTTTTCAATTAAAATTGATTAAAAAAACAGTGTACGCGTGATTTAATTGAGCCAAACATCTTCTCCATTAATTTTTTTCACTTACCCTAAGTTTCCTAAAAACCTTCATTCTCAAATCACAATCACAATTCACAAATCAAAATTATAAGTCATAACTCATAAATCACAAATCACAAATTCACAAAAAATAAAAAAAATAAAAAAAAAGACCTAAAATCACGTTCACAGTCTCACAGATAATTCATAGCATTCATCAGTAGCCAAGCCAACTAAGAACTACTAGTCTCTAACAAATACCTTTTTCTCCTAGGCCCAACAGCAGAAGTCATGAAGGCCGAAGCTCCACTGGACAGTTTGGACCAGTGCTCCTTCAAGTCCAGGCTCCATCTCCACACCACAAACCACAGTCCACCGCCCCACCTGAATCTCCAACTCTCGAAGTCTAGGCTCCACCTCTACAGATAAGCAGAAGTCACAAAGCTCCAGACTCAGTGCCTTCCCAGTTCGCCAAAATCGCCTCTCCCTCCTCTAAATGTCAGTGAATTTGTTGTCGGTATTGGGTTAATGGTAAATTGGTATGGTAATCAGGTAATGGACTTGGAATTTAATGGGCAAGGTATTTGGGATCATAATTGGACCTTATTTTTTTAAAATAAAGGCCCAAACAAACAATAAGGAGGGAAAAAGAAAAAAAAAATCAGGCTGGCCGGCAGTAGCATCTTCTTCTTCACTTTACCTTTCCCGCGGTCTAACGGCGAGGCGGGGATTCAAGCGGATCCAGCATGGGCGGCAGCGGGGACTGGCTGATGAAGTATAACCTAGGATGATTGTTAATCGTGGAATCATCTTCTCACTAAAATCACTTCACTCTAAATATATACAAAATTCATAATAACTCTTCCAACTTTCGACTAAAAAACTAACCTAAACTTTCACTGCCTATATCCGATTTACACGACGTCTCATGCTTCAATATAGTAAATATAAATTTTTTACTTTTATAGATATATACAATATAAATAAGTAAAAGTCAATGCGAAATAAGTCTTCAAACTTTCGACTAATACTATTATTAGGATTATTTAGGGGTAAATGAGTAATGTGGTGAGTGGCACCACTATCAATTACTTACGGATGACTGCTAAAGGAAGGAACAGGGGCGAAACCTGCGAAGGAGAGGGCTAGGTTTTTGAGAAGTTCCATCAATTGAATATACTGATCGGTGGAGAGGCCAGGAATTCCATTCATGGTTGAGGATGTACTGGCAGTAGAGACTTGATGAACAGTCGGCGAGAAAGAAGCGGATGTGCTGCGTTTGTTCTTGGACGACCACCACTCCGGGTACCCAATAATTTTCTAGGTTTACCACAAGCCTCACAGAGCGGCGTCCCAGTTAGGATGGGGTTAATTGGACCAACTGTTGGGTTTCTTCTTGGTAGAGAATGGCATAGCAACGACCAATTGAAGGGAGTGGGTCTGTAGCCAAAATCTGTGATCGAAGTTGTTGGAAGCTCTCGTTAAGGCCCATGAGGAATTGACAAACCCGATCGGTCTCCCGAAGTTCAGCGATGGATTTAGAGGCACCGAAAGTACATGGATTGGCCATTCTAAGGAGGTTAATTCATTCCATAACTCCTTCAATTTCCCATAATATGCCGCGATTGATTGTTTTTCTTGGTGAAAGTTGGCTAAATCCCGTTTGAGTTGAAAATTTTTGGTTCGGTTGCTTTGTTGAAAGCGAATTTCTAGCTCCACCTACGAGTCGTTCGGTGTAGTGCAATAAAGGAGGTTGCCCGTAAGTGATCGATCGATTGAGTGTAGAAGCCATGACATTATCATATCACAGCATCAATCCCAAATTAGTGCCGCAGAGGTGTCATCGGTAGGGCGTTTAATGGTGCCGAGAACAAAGCCTAACTTGTTATTGACATTCAATGCACGGGTAATTGCTCGACGCCACATCGGATAGTTGTCGCCATTAAGGGGTGTGTCAATAAGAAATTGGTTTGGTTGATTGGATGAGAGCAGGAAGTATGGAGATGTGCATTCGTGAGGTATTTGTTGGCATCCAAGGTTGGGAGAGAAGCAGATTCGTTCATGGCATAAGAGAGGTAAGGAATTGTAACCTAATGCTCTGATACCATGTTAAAATTGATATGGAATGAAGTAATTTTCATTATTGAATATACATTACATTAGTGTATATATTACATGCATAATTTGTTATGTAAGGAAATAAAACTAATATAGGACAAAATATGTTATTAAGGAAAGAATCTTCTATGATAAAATCAAATCCCAATAATCACGATTAATAAAGGTGAACGTTTTCTTATTGAATTTGTCTCCAATTGCATCGCATAAAACAAATTCGTAATATCACCTCGTGAATTGTAGAGTTAATTTAGAACAAATACCCAAAATATATTGTGTAAAATCTACAACGTATTCAGTGGCAGCCCCAAAAGATGTATCTTGGGCGATAGACTATGTAGAAGAGGATTTTCCACTATGATTTCTCTTATATACATTCTTTAATAAAATAATAGTACATACAACCAACATTTTTTCTTCATTTTTAACCACACGTTTTCCATCAATTTATTATTTCAAAATGTATTTTGCATAAAAGGGGTTCCAACGGGCCCTTGAAATCTTTTTTTGGGAAGAGTTCAAAAGTAAGGGATTAACTATACACAATTCAAAAATCAAGTTTTAAGTTTAACTAATGCAAAAATCAAGTTTTAGCTAATTAATTTAAAATTTTAATTAATTAAATATAATAAGATCACAGTTATATAATTAATGGTTACATATACATAATTATAGGTCACAATTAGTTTATTGGTCACATATTATCTAATTAATTAGTCAATGATGATTTCGAGGTCATAAATTCAATACAGATTTATTTACTGGTCACATATCGTCAAATTTTTTGATCCCAGATTATTTCAAGGTCACATATCAAAAATTTGTACGTCACAGATTATTTCGAGGTCACAGATTTTTAAATTAGTTGGTCACAGATTATTTTTGAATCACATATTATTAAATTTTTAGATCACAAACTACCACTATGGCCACTTTTGACCACTCTCACCATGGTGCCACCGTCGCCATCGCCACAACAACACCAACAAACCAGCCAACAAATCAGATCATACTACTACCACCACCATCCCCATCGCCTCATGAGCGCCATCAACCTCAACACCACCTGCCAAGAACTGCAAATACAACCAACAAAAACCATCCCGAAAATGATTTATAATGAACTGGTATTGCTTGAACCAGGCATATTGAAGAAACACCACATCCACATCGTAGCATGGAGCGCTGAGTCTCGCGCAGCGTCGCTGTTGAACAATCAGACGTGCTAGTATTCTTCTCCGGCACATTGCTGTTCCTAAAGTTCTTAAAACCACTGGCGTTGGTGGAACTGCCACCTATCGAACCACTACTTCCAGCTGAAGCGAGACGGAGGAGAAGAGAGACAGCAGAGAGGGGGAAATGATGAAAAAGAAAGGAGAAATAGATCTAGGGCTTGGTCTTCCTCGCGCCAGCGCCGTAAATAGATCTACGGCTTGGCCTTCCTCACGCCGGCCCCGTCACCATCCTCGTCGTGAGACAACCGACGGTCATGACAAAGGTGAGAGAAAAACTGAGATAAGAGAATGAGAGAATTAAAATTATCAAGGTTTGTAATTAAATTGGGTGGATAATGTTTAATTTATAGATACTTGATCTCTGATTTTTGACTTATAATCTTTAAACACCTGAAATTATGTGATTTCCACATCTTTTTTCCGTAATAGGGCATATACAATTTTTTCTGAAAAATAAAAGCAATCCAAGTCTGGGTCCAATTAGATTTTGACACGAGAGGGCAAGGCCCAGCCCAACCTCCAATCCAAAAGCCAATGGCAAACCTGTATTTCTAACTAATTCCAGTCCCTTTCCCAAAAGACAGGAAAATCCCATATGGCGAAATTTCTCAATTTTCTAAGCGGTCAAAGCAGATGCCACGAGAAGGTAAACAAATCCGGCATTCCTATATTTTCCAAGGGCAAATCCGTCATTCTGTACTCAATATAAGTACCCATCTAATTCTCTTTCCAAGAACGCTCCCACCATTCTTCCTCGTTCTTATTCTCTCTCTTAAACTTTCCAGCGAGCAACTCTTCTTCGTTTCTCCACAGTCGGGGAAAAAGTGGGCCCCCCAAAACCAAAACCGTTCGAACCCGTCGGCCACAGTTTCGATATTCCTTTCTTGAAAACGCCACCGTTTTTGAGTTCTATTATTGGTGTTGCAAGAATCCGATTGCTTAACAGCCGTTGATTCTTGATCGTTCAGCTGTGCAAAACGACTTCTTTTAGTCGGTTGTGGAAGTAAAACTTTGAGAGATAAATATGGTTGATTAATTTTTGAATTCGTTTTCAAGGGAGTGAAAAAGTTGTGTATATGGGTAAAGTAGGGGTAAAGTTGGCTGTGGGATGTGCGGTGGCGGCGTGCGTGGTGGCGTCGGTGATGGTGGGACGTAGAGTGAGGAGGAAAAGGGCGTGGAGGAGGGTGGTGAGGGTGCTGGAGGAGTTTGAGGAGGGTTGTGCTACTCCGGTGGGGCGGCTGCGCCAGGTTGTCGACGCCATGGCGGTGGAGATGCACGCCGGCCTCGTCTCCGAAGGAGGTTCGAAGCTCAAGATGCTCCTCACTTTCGTTCATAACCTCCCCAGTGGGTAAAGCCCTGAAGGCTGAAACTCGTGTGTGTGTATATTCCATTGAGAGTGTGTGTATGTATCTACATATCTTTTTGCATCAATTGCATGCACCATTGCATCTGTGAATTATTTTGTGTGAATTATTCATCTATATAGGTGCACACCTACTCGTGTGAGTGTTGCTGGCGGTGATGAGGGAGTGAAATTGATTCGCCTATGAATTCGTAGATAAAAAAAATTAATTTTTTTGATAGCCTATCTTGTTGTGTTTGATCGTTTCTTCTCTTTTTTCTTAATTTTAATTTTTTGAAATGAGATGAACCTTTGCATTTCTGGAGATGATATTTATTTGTGGGGTTCAATTTTAGAATTGGCTTTGCTGGTCAAGCTTTTGCTTTGTTGTGAAGTTTATTGAATTTGTCTTTCAGTTGTTTAGTTTTACAACCATCCATTTCTCGGTTATCTGTTGTTTATGGTATATAATCTCAGGTATGGTGGCGTGATTAAAGGAACAATGTCGCAATTGGGTGCGTTTGGCGCACCGCATTAGACCTAAACGTGATATTCATATCCTATTCTGCAATTGGGGTATATAATCTCGTTTATGGTGGCGTGATTAATGCAACAACATTACAGTTGGGCATGTTTGAGACACTGTATGAGAATAGATACGGGATGATTCTTATTCAATGCTGCATTTGGGGTATATTGTCCTCGCATTAAATTAACACAGTGAATTAATTCTATCCTATGCTAGCTGGATAAAGTTATCTCAAGTGGGGTGGCTTAAAGCTGTTTTAAATCATAAAAACACCGGACAATACTTAAATGCATTTGGTTGTCTTCAAACATGGGTTGAGATATGGTATCTTAGGCAAGATACGTCTCCCATGCACGTTTTAAAAATAAGTCTCTAGAGTGGATGTCAATAAACTGAAATCATATTATTATTTTATTACTTAAGAGTAGAGTAAATATTTTGTTGAGTGACAATTAGCACAATAATTTTGTAGGACAAATTTTTTTTTAAGCACTAGAAAAGATTGATCGATTGTCACATCTATATACATGGAGGCAAAGTTAGATAGCTGTGTTTGATTTCTAGATGCTTAAAAGTTCTTTAACACGATTTCATACCGAACATGGTATAGCCAGTGATGCTACTTAATACAGTATGCCCCAGCCTTAATATTGTCGGCCCTTATGCTATTCACCTTAATACTATCTCCCTGATACACCACGTTGTACCAATGGTACCCTTGGCTTTCTTGGTTTTGTATTCACCTTCTCAATTAGCCTATGATCTGTATTGAACAATGACTTATTTTTCAAGTGGGAGAACTGCAATAATTATCTTGCAAATCTTCGTGGAGATTTTCTTTTCTATAATTTTACCTTACAGTCTAGTTAGCTGCTTCGTTCCATATTGTATTCCTTCAGCAGAAAACTCTCGATGTCACGGTTGGAAAACATCTGGAAAAAAGATTATATATGTTCTTTTTCCTTGTGTTGTTTACTTGGTTTTTAGCGATTGTATACTTATAATTTCAAAGGTTCATTTCTCTGACGAGACACGATTCAATTTTCCTTTGTTTCTTTGTGTCCTGTGGTATTATAATGTTCCAGTCTTCATAAATTTGCTTGGCCCTAAATCTGTGACCACTAAAAACTGGCGATGAAATGGAAATTTAAGATTGTATTTCCAACTTCTGCTATGATGGTTTATTTACTTGTCTAGCTTTATGAGCTAGCACTTGATAGTTCTGTTTAAAATTTAAAAATTTGTTTGGTTTTTCGCACGCTAGAATATTTTTTTAGATTTATCCTTGAATCTTCTTTTCTCCAGGAGTGAAAAAGGAACTTACTATGCTCTAGATCTTGGTGGTACAAACTTTCGGATTCTGCGAGTTCAGTTAGGAGGCCAAAGGTCTGCTATTATTGGACATGATGTGGATAGACAACCTATTCCCCTGCATCTGATGACAGGCACTAGTGAGGTGTCTGAGTTTGTGCTTTCTTGCTTGAGTTCTTGACGTTAATTGTAAAGATTTTAATATTCAGACTCAAAATACTGACATTTTCCTCTTCATTCTATTCTCCCTTGCATAGGAGCTCTTTGATTTTATTGCATCATCACTGAAGGAATTTGTCGAAAGGGAGGAAAGTGTTTCAGAACATTCGAAAAGTGAGAGAAGGGAACTTGGCTTTACTTTTTCATTTCCAGTGAAACAAACTTCTTCGTCGTCGGGCATTCTGATTAAATGGACAAAAGGGTTTGTCATTGAAGACATGGTTAGTTGTATTAACATGATTTTTACTTCATAAATCAATCTCAATGGTATGAAAGAAATGAATCTATCCTGGGGAAGACATATTCCTAGATAATCACTTTTCTGAAAAATGCACCAGGAATTGATTTAGCTTTGATGGTAGTTCTTGTTCCACTGAATCGTGTATACTCTTTTTTTATTCCTTACTTATGTGAGACACTATATTTTCACATACATGTGCTTAGACGTGTTACGTCAAGTAGATGTTAATTAACCAAGGCACCTGTCAACAGAAGTGACAAATTGCACAAGAAGTGGCTTTGACTGATTTTACTCACTCTTTAAGTTCACATTTGTTGATGATTTTTATTGTCAATGAATCTTTAAGTGTTACTAGGTTTTGAAAGATCAGAAATTTCCTGTATTTTCCAATAATAAATCCAGAATCAATTATCCATCCAACAAAATGATCACTTCTGCGGAGACCTGCTGAAGGAAAACTTACATTGCATGATGTGTTCTATTTCCAGGTTGGAAGAGACGTTTCTGAGTGTCTACAGCAAGCAATATCTAGAAATGGCCTGGATATGCAGGTTAATGCACTTGTAAGCATACTGTTCCCATATAATAATGCTTTGTATGCTGTTATGCTGAGTTAAATGAATATATTCTGGTCTTAAGTCTTGGACAAGAGTTACGTAATGTAAGTCTTTTTGTGCTGTCCTAACCTCTTTTCTATGGTAATTAAAAAAAAAAAAAAATGGTAGTTGACAATTGAATTCGTTTTTTGACCATTATTTTATTATGTGTAAAAGTGTGTGTGGCCAATAACAAATCATGAATAATAAGTTCATTGTACCTTACTTCATGGTTGATGTCATAGTTGAACCTCAGCATCTATGCTCTGAACTTTTTGTTCATCGGACAGCAAATACGCTGTTTCGAAGTATTGATTTCAAAATCTCTTTTCACATTGATAGACTGCTTTGATCTGACCTTCATCCTGGCAAGTTTATGGCCATCTAGTCTGTTGCGAACAAAAGGCGCAACTTTTAGCCCTCCTGGCATCTCATTGGAGAATCCGTCTTGCAAGCTATCTTCTTCTTTTGGCTGATTGCTTTCTCGATAATTTACTTCTTGAAATGCCAAAATTTGTTCAAATCTTTTACGTTTACCTATGGTGTTGAGTAGTAGGCATTTGTATTCTTAAAATTAAATAATATTTTTCTTCCAAGCAGATAAATGATACTGTGGGAACCTTGGCTCTTGGTCATTATCACGATGAAGACACGGTTGTTGCTGTGATTATTGGGACAGGCACCAATGCTTGTTATTTGGAGCGGGCAGATGCAATTATTAAGTGTCAAGGTCTTCTTACAACGCCGGGAGACATGGTATCCTTGAGTTTTGGTTAATGTATTACTATATGTTGCATATTTACTTATTATTTCTTTTCATTTTACTATGGTTTATATTAATTTGTTGTCATTAGGTAGTCAACATGGAATGGGGAAATTTTTGGTCATCTCATTTACCCCGAACATCATATGATATTGACTTGGATGCTGATAGCCCAAATCCAAATGATCAGGTGATGTTTAGCTACAATTTCATAGTTTCACATTTGGCTCAATAAATTGGTTTGTGACATTGACAAGAGGATCGTGCTGCAGGGTTTTGAAAAAATGATATCAGGGATGTATCTGGGTGACATTGTGCGTAGAGTAATTCTTCGGATGTCGGAGGAGCTGGGTGTTTTTGGACCAGTATCTTCTAAGTTGCATGTCCCTTTCATCTTGAGGTCCTTTTTCTTGTTGATAGTATTTTATATCTCTGTTGCGTCTTAATCAGCATGTGGAGATGCATGTATAGACTCACTGAACCAGTTCATGCTAATTTATAACTGGAGGAAATGCCAATAAAGATTTTCTAGATGTTTCATCTTCTAGAATATCTAAATATACGATGCAGGATACACCATTTTGGCAAATGTATGATTTAGAATAGATGCTTGTGAGTTTGAGCTTGAGAGTTCAAAGGTGTTCTTACTATGATTTTTAGGTAAATCACTTGAACGTGCGCCCTTGTGACATATATTAAGTGATGCTCATGAGCTCTTTTGCTTTATAAACGAAGGTATAAAAAATTTGAGTTCGTATAATGTTGTCTTATTTATGTTAAGTTACGCAAGATAATTGCAAAGAATATGCTGCAAGTGGTAACTTGTCCAAACCAGCTCCGTGTGCTACTTGAACTACGTTATAATGGGCAAGTATCTTGCTTACATTGGTGAAGAGAAAAGGTAAATGAAAATTAGTTGGGGGATTGCATGAGCTTTTTTCAGTTCCTTTTGTTTACTGCTTTTTTGTTTCCATGCTCTCTCTCTTTATATGTTGCATTGTTTTGTGTCGTGTACTTACAGTCAGTTGCCGTTCTTAGGTTGCCTTTTGATGATGTTGTGTGCATATTATCTGATCTTCTGTCAAAATTTTCAGGACACCTTTGATGGCTGCTATGCACGAGGATGATACCCCTGATTTGAGGGAGGTGGCCAGAATTTTAAGAGACACCTTGGAGGTTGAGCTTTTCTTGCATTTGTGTAGTTGCATTTTGAATTAGCATATTTGGCTAGCTTAATTTGTTTTAAACTGTTTGGTTAAGTAAAAAATGTTATTTCTAAAGCAACTCTTACCTTACTGTCAAAATAATTATTTTCACTTTTCAGTTTCAAAATATTTCATAATTATTTAATAGTGAACTTTATAAGCTAAGCCAAATTCCTCTTAATAAAAATCCCTATCATAGCATTGATCACTACTCTTGTTTCTTGGTGACTTTCACTTCAGTTCCCCGACATTCCTTTAAATGTTCGGAAGCTCGTTGTGAAGGTATGCGATGTGGTGACCCGCAGAGCAGCTAGATTGGCAGCTGCGGGTATTATAGGAATATTGAAAAAGATTGGTCGGGATGGTAGTGGTGGCATAGCTAGGGGGAAAAATGAAGCTGCAAGCCGGAGTAAGATGAGACGAACTGTGGTGGCAGTCGAGGGGGGTTTGTATACGAACTATACATTGTTCAGGGAATATCTGAATGAAGCAATGTCACAAATACTAGGCGAGGAGATTGCACCTAGTGTCATCATCAAGGTTATGGAAGATGGATCAGGCATTGGAGCAGCTCTCCTAGCTGCATCTCATTCCACCTCCAGTGTGGATACCATACAGATACCATACATGTAAGAAGTAAGAACAATATATATATATAGCCCCTGTAGATATGTAGAAATCATATGCATATCTTATTTATCGCGGAAAAAGGGTGGTTATGTTGTCATCTATCGTATATTAGTAGGTTGATCCGATAGGTGGGGAGTTTCCAAATGTTCTGATTAAGTTTATAGTCTTGATTAATTGGTTTCACTGTCATTTTTGTTTTTAGTCTGTATAGTTGCAGTGTAACAATGGTTGAATTATTATTAACTTCTATTCTATTAATTCATTTATATGTTATCAGGATTTGGCATGTCGTTGATCGTTTATGCTATCAACTGCTTTTATTTTCGTCCTCCCGACCAAGTCTCAGCCTCTTGTTCCCACATTGGGTGGGACGAGGTGACTTTTGGAAGGCATGGCTTGTGGGTTTGTCCTATTTTATTTTATTTTTATTTCATCTCTGCCAAAGATATCTTCAAATATTCACGAAAGGAAGAGGGTGAATTGCACAAGAAATACGTTTCAAATCTTTGTTACTTGCAGAACAAGAAATCCATTGATTCAAGAAAAACTAGAAATTCTCAAAACTTGTTGTTTATAAACTCTCAATTTCAGTTCTTTCGAACCACTTGAAGAAATTTAATGATATTTTTAAACTATCATTATTCTGAACACATTTTCTTTAGCGATAGACTCTATTTTACAACGAATGACGCCAAAAACTTTTTGAAATTAATTGACATCAAAGTTTGAGTTTCCATATCCATAATTTCAATAACACGGCTACTTTACCATTCACATTGAGATGAATATTTATAAATCTTGCGTGTTCTTTTACGTTTTTTTCCTTACTGAGATTTTATTGCTTTTGGTGATATAGAATTAGAGTATCTAATTCTCAACAATATATGTGATCTTCCTTCTCTTTTTAAAGCTATAAGATGATTGTGCTTTTATTTTTACAAGCAAAAATCTTCTGACATCAATAGTTTGATTACAACTTGTAGAATCTCTTGATTATCATAAACAACAAGCCTTTCAAATTTAGTCTTCCAAAGATCTAGCATCATTTAAAGAAAGAAGGATACAGCCAAAACACCCAGGCAGTCAAGCACTCAAGAATGCTAAGACTATTACTTTGAAGATGTTAGCTCTCTCACATTGTACTTGGACAATTCCTTGTACTTCTCAACAATCCCAATCAAGCATATGGTCTGCAAGAGAAATTGTAATCAATTGAGCATGTTTGGATAACAAGTCTACTCATAAGAAATAAATTTCTAAAGTTGGAATACGTTACTTATTTTGACTAGTTACTTAAAAGCAAGAAAAGAGAGACGTATCTAAACATGTTAGGAAACAAAAAAGTTACTTTAGAAAGTAAATTTTACATTTTTTAAGCTTCACTGTACATGCTTTAGTGCAGAGAATACTTTTTACCATTGATAAGCAACTCACCAAAGCAATATAGCAAGAAAATCCTGAGCTGTGGCCCTAAAGCATACGGGGATAGATTTTCAATGCGCAAAAGGCAATAATTTTTATTTTCATATTCAATGTTCTATTCTATTAGTGCATTATATGATGCTAAAATCCAAAATCATAGTAATTGGTCCAAACTCTTGAGAAAAGGCAATTAAAACAAATAAAAAGCATATACCAAAGACATTGTAGACATTGAAATGTAAACAATTCAGTTCAAATTATACAGAATTCTTTTCTTACCTTGACAATTTGCACAACTATGCTCACATCTGGGTTGCTAAGATCAACTTTGTGAGCTGACGGAACAGATTTCGCAACTGCGTCGATGATTTTTGTTCTGTCAACACCAGTATTTGCACGAGCATCATAGAGTACAGCAAACTGCAATAGAATATTTATGAACATGAGATTTATTTTAAGTTTGTACCCATTATAACTGCACAAACCAGTCCAAACAGCATCAACTAGGAACAAAATCAATTACCGTATGTTTTAAAAATTTTGTTAACTATACGAAACTATCTATAGATAGGCTAAGGTGCCTTTAATAATAATAATAGAATGCACTTCTTTCTCAAAGTCAAGAAGGAATTCGCCTTACGAATCCAAAATCTTTAAATGAGAAGCAGAAGACCCCATACATACAACAAGTATAAAATCAAACTGCAATCTATTTATATATGGCAAAAAATCCAATCAATCCAATAAAAGTGGGAACTAGAAAGTCAAACCCTCAAAAGAAGGCCAAAAGGAAAAAAGAGTCTCACATTAACTTTATTCACGCTTTATGGAAAAATCTAGAATATTTTGAAATAAAAAATGGAAACAAATTATTATTGGTATAACATCAAGGTGAATCAAAGGGTTTTGTTATATTTGATTTATGCATACATAAGCTATGATTATGACCAATTGACTAGAAAAATGATTTAATTCACATAGGAGTGAAAGTCAAAAAAGCAAAACCTAACAATGTAATATATATATACACATTCATTCCACACCCTTTTTCTATGTGTACATAAATCAAATACAATAAGGATTCACCTTGATTATACTAATAATAATTTGTTCCCCTTTTTTATTACAACGGTATTCTAGATTTTTCCATCACGAGAATGTGTGTGTGTGTGTAAATATAAGGAAAACTAATTCTAGTTATTATGTTTTCTTATAATAAAGGGAAGAATATAAACTTTGCCTTATAAAATTTATTTGACCAAACTGAAATACATCTTTTCTTCCCCACATAAAATCCCATTACCTAGTACTGTTCAGGCTAACAAATTAACTTTACGAATTTTGAATAAAGGTCCCTCAACCAATTTGGTCCCTAAGCTTTCAGAATTCTATAATAAGGTCCTAATTTCGAAAAGTCTAATAGTGGAATTTTGGGGTGTTACATGGTCGCTCAACTTTCAGGGAACTTTCATTTTAGTCACCAACCTAAAGTCAAATAAAGACTTAAAAAAAAGGAAAAAAAATAAAAGAAAACTAATAAAGCGCCCTAGGAAAGACGAAAGAAAGGAAGGAAAAAATTCAGCCATTTAAAAATTGAAAAAAAATAAAAAAATCTAGGTGCGAAGCGAGGTGTTTTGCCAGATCTTCGCGCCACCTAGGCGAGCTTTTTAGAACACTATTTGTTAGTAAAATTAATGGACTGCCCATTGTGGCAAACGGGATGTAGGATGCAGTGGATTGCCATGTCGGACAATCCATTAATTTTTACTAATGGAAGTTGGTGACGTACAAAGTTGATTGACTAAATTGAAAAAAAAAGGGTTCTGTTGCTAAAATGAAAACATCAGGTGGAAGTAGGACTTATATGCACTTTAAGCTTTTGGATGTCAAGAATATCATAATGGTATTGTGTTTACCTTAAGCGGGTTCTGAGTTTCTACAGGAAAAAACTGTTCAATGACCGGTTTGATTGCTCTTCTGATTTCTTCATCAGATGCATAGCATGTTATTTCAATCGGAAGCACTCTTAGAAGAAACCTGGTTAAATCCATCATGTTGTTAGTCACCAGATGCTGAATGCTGGACCCCTTTAGTGAATAAAAATTAAAATGATTATATTGAGAGGTTACTTGAGACAAAAAGAGCTGTTGAGAGATAAACCTTGACACGTGTTTCCTAGTTGAAGCCAGAGATGTCATCATGTGTTGGACAATATCTTTTGGGCAGGGATCTCCATCTCTTTTGCGCATTTGTACAAAGACAACACCATTACAACCTGAGTCAAGGTTGCTGAACCGCCTCTGTTTCGAAGAGAACAGCAATAAGTATATGCATGAACAGGAGAAGGTACATCAGCATATATCAAAATTCAGTAAGAGAAAATGTAATTTATGAAGTAAAAGCCCAATAAGAATAAGAAATATGCTTTCATTCATTGACTTTCAAGAAACAATAACACAAAAAGTAGTGTATCTAAGAAGATTTTCATGTTCTTAGAAAAGAAATGCAAAGAAAGTACATTATGGAGCATTGATATAAGTAAATGATTAAAAAGAAATTAAAAGTTTTCATGATAAAAGAGATAATAAAGGATGTGGCATGACATTAATTTGTAATGAGCCTGTGAAGAATCAAAATATTGCAGTCTGGAAGCTGTTTTTCAACTAACCTTGCTTCTGTCTCCTAATTCTGCAAGCTCGTCTTCAATAAGCCTATCAACAGATTTCTTTTCTACCTTATTGGATAAGTCATTTCGACATTTTAATGTATCATTTTCCATACGTTGTTTCTTAGCTGCTGGTGGTTCAACAGCTATAACTTCTTGTTCATCAGTTTTCTCTTTATTTTCCGGTGCTTGCTTCTCACTCGATATGCCATCCTCCTTTTGATGCCCTGACTCTTCTTTTATAAGATTTTCATTATTTGCATCAGTGCCTGTTGCAATAGCATGTTTGTTTTCGTCCTCCTTTGGTCGTACATTGCTCTCATCCTCATGATGATCATCGTCTGAATCTTCATCGTTGTCATCATCATCACTGCTGGAGGAATCAGAGTATGCGAATTTGATTACTTTATTCAAGGGCTTCTTAGATAATTCTGCTTGTTCGCATGTTGTCTTTGTCCCATTTAGAAGCTCTTCATAGAACTGTCTCAAAAAACAAACAAAATGTAAGTGTGACTTCACTTCATTCCAGCTTCCAGCAAAGAATAGAAAAAACAAGATGAAAAAGAAATCAATGCACTTCATACTTCATGGCCTGAAGCTGAAAGCTATTTCAAGTAGTCTTTTGCCACATATTCTGATCATGAAATACAATAACAGGGGAAGCTAAAAGTAACATAATTGAACACCAATAGAGACTGCATGGAATTAGGGACTATGGATTTCTACAGGCAGAAAAGTATTTTCTCCTTTGGCGTACAATCATCAAGCAAATACAAGGGCCCTTTTTTTCATTTGGCTTATGAATTATCACTCTCAAGTTCTCTGTTCCATTACCACTTCACAGCTCAGTGTAAATGAAATCTTAAAATTCAAGCCCACTTTCCCTTCGCAGGATTGCAATTAATTAATTATATAAACACAGCATATTGTTAGTTAATCAAAAAATAACTAAAAATACAGAAATTTCTGCGTATTTAACAAACAGTCAATTTGACAAATTGAAAACAGACACAAAGGAATTACAAATACCCATATCGTTAATTAATGTACAAATAACCAAAGACTAAATCTTTAGCACCAGAAAGACACGAATAACAAAAAAGGGCAAAATTATACATACAGAGTCAATAACATTAATGGCTTCGTTTGAGGCTTGGCGTTCCCTTCCACCATCACACGTTATAAAGAACCCCTTCACTCCTGGACATAATGCGTATTTCCCCTTTTTCACTGGTCTCTAAAATATTCAACAAAAATAGAGAAACAAAAGATATTAGCTTCGCGAATTCATAAAAAAAAGCATATCTACTAAGGTGGAATGAAGAATACATTGTGTGGAAGATATTGCTTCCTTCTCTTGTCAGTTTTGTTAGTATTGTTTGGCTTCGATTTGTTTTCAGTTGCCATTGAAATTGAGTTGAAAGACAGCAGAGACACAATGAACAGTGATTCTCCTCTCTTCTATGAAGGGGTTTATTTCCACGAATTCTGAGATGGAACCTGAGTTGGACTGATATTGGTTTGGGTTCAGGCCCAAAATTGTGTAGCCCATTTCGTTTTGTCTATTTGATTCTGAGTACTTTAATTACGCTAGGACTTTTTTCAAATTTGCATTTCATAAAGAGGAAATTACATCCACAAAGGTATTTAAAATTTGCAATTCAAAAATCAGGTTATAATTCTATATTTTAATATTAATAATATAAATCAATTTATATACTCACACCTACCCTATTCACCCAATTCAAACCCTAGGAAGAAAATTCCCTCCTCCCCATTCTCTCCTCTTCCTCTCCCTCTAATCTATCTCTGCTCGTCGCCATCGGAGAGCCTGTCGCCGGAGATCGACTCCATTCCACTTCAAATTCATTTTCATTTCTTCTTCTTCTTCTTCTTCCTTCTCTCGCTACCTCTCCATTCTCTCTGGACTCCATCTCATTCTCGCTACCTCTACTAGCGGCACTTTCTCTCGCTCGATTTTCACAGCCAGTGTTGCTACGATGCTGTCGTTTTGGCACTGCTGCAGCAGCGTTGGATTTGGGTTTGGTGGCGAAGGTGAGTAGATCAATGATGTTTGTGGTTTTGGTATCGGATTTAGTTTGTATGAGATGTTGACGTCGCTATTGGGCGGCGATGGTGGTAGTGCTACTGGTGGAAGCAGTGGCGATATGGTGGTGCGATGTGGGGGGGGGGTGAACCTGGGTGTGTGGTGCGGTGCATGATGTGCAGTGGTGGATCTGTACGGTGCGGT